CTCAAACTCTGGGGCTTTGTCGGCATAAGCAATCTTGATCTTCTTCAATCCTTTGAAGTGGTTTATTGCATTGACCACGTCCTTGGTAAACCTCTCTTTCGACGGATAGGCCCATATGACGCCTGTGTACCTGTCACGAATGACGAAGATCTCTCGATCAGTACTGATCCCTTGATCAAGGATGTTCCTCGTATCGACAAAATCAAAGGTAACCAGATCTCCAAAAGCTTTGAGCTTTCTCTTGAACGCTCCTCGATGCGTCTTAAAGTGTTTCATCTTTGCTCTGATGCATGACTCACAGTAGGGATTCTTGTAACGATGTGTGAGTAGATGCTCGATTTTCCTGGCATCTGCTTTCAGAGTTCCTCTTCTCACCATTCTACTTGCACCGTCAACAACATCCACCTCGATGTCATCTGCATCATCATCGTCAGCTTCTGGTTCACTGTCTCCGGCGACCAGTGATCCTACCTCATCTTCTTCTCCAGGAGATGCCTTGAACTTCTTATTCCTCTTTCGCCTTTTGACTTTTGGAGGCTCAATCACAGGGAGGTCGTCATCATCACACATGATTCCTTGAGGATCCACATCACAGTTGATGAAAGTCGATTGGTAATCAGCTTCATCTTCTCCTAGGGTGAACCTTGCGATCATCTCCGCCCTTGTATCGTCGGTGGGAGTACAGAAGTCACTGCCCTTGACAATATATGGGATGTTTCCCTCTACTTCTAACATGATTTTCTTGTAGTTCGGGGAAACCATGTACGGGTTGCCGCAGGCTGGCCATATGAATGTATATCCTTCCTCCATGCATTTCTTTCCAACAGACAGTACTGAAGGAGACTCATCTAGGACGAATGGGGAGTAGGTAGAGTCAAATTCGTCGAAATGAATATCGGCGACTCCTTTTGTGGATGTCACTCCATTTGCAGTATAGAATGACATTGATTGGTCGCTTTCTCTCACTTCCAGACCTAATTTCTTGGCTCTCCCTTTCGATATCAAATCATACCCACATCCTGTGTCCATGATGAACTTTGTTCTTGACCCTTTGGCTGGAATAGACAATGTCTTTGTGTCTGCATGATCTTTCTTTCCCTCGCATACATGAGGAATGACTTTATGATGGAAAACTAGGCCGTCATCTTCGTCAAAAGACATAGTGACCGCTAGGTCACCCTTTGGTCCAACTGGTATTCGGACCCTCTTGATCTCAGTGTAGGGGACCATCAATATGCCTCTCGCCTCTGCGACCTTTTCTTCAAATCTGATTTGTTCTTTCCTCGTGTAGCAGGTGAGCTCTTTCTCATCGTATCGTTTGATGTCCGGACGTAGAGGTTTCTTTTCTACTACCTTCCATTTGTCCCTGACTGAGTAGATCGCCTCGTTCAACATGATCTCACAGGTCTCTTCATCAAAGGACACTTTTGCACCTCCTTCTCTTGCCTTGGCGGATGCAGCAATCCCTTCATCTTCGGATTCGTCCATGAAGAGTTCACCGTCAATGGCTGGGGCTCCAGGCTTCGCCTTAGGCTTCGGTTTGGGCTTTGCCTTGGGCTTTGGCCTATCGTCTCCTGAGTCAGCTGGTGCAGATATCCCTTTCTTAGGAGAGGCTTTTGGGTCATGGTAGAACTTGCAATCCTTCCCTTTGTCACAAGTTCCTCGAATCCACATCCAACATACTGGCTTGTCATTCTTTCCGACAGAAGATCCTCTGGATGGTGATCTGGGTTTCTTGTGACTGAATGGGCAATCTTTCCCCATAGTGCAGTTACCTTTCACGAAGAATTTGCATGGTATCTTCTTCTTGTCTGTACTCGGACTTCGGCTGCGATCCTTTCCATCACCTTTACCTTTCCCCTTTCCCTTTTTGTTCTTGTCTTCAGGATGCTTCTTGGGATTGGGTTTCGGCTTCACTGCAGCAGCGTCTTCTGAGACAACCTGTTCTTGTTGCCCTTTTGGTTTCTTCTTCGGATCAGCTGGTGCAGCTTTCAGTTTTGGAGCAGGTCCGCCTGGTTTGAGATTCTGAAAGATATTGGCCACATTCTTCACTGCCTTCTCCTTTTCCAGGATCATCCTGTCTTCAGTTTGCCGTTCGATGTGCCTTCTGATCATATCACGTAGATGTTTGTATGTCTTCTTGGCATCATCGTCGTTCATGCTGTTGTAGGCGCTGATGTCGTATGCCATGAGGTTTGAGTTCCTGATCTTTCTCCATAGGAGATCCCGAAGAGTTTCGTCGCTCGGGACGTCAACGGGCTTCATTCCTGCCAGAATCTCATCCCAGGTGTGGAAGAACAACGATAAGTTCTTGTCTCCTTGATATTCTAGTTGGTAGAGGTGCATTGAAGTATATAAGACTTCCACATTTGATGTTGTCTTGAAATTCATAAGGATCAGGGCTAGGACCTCTCTTCCCTTTATGAGGCTTGATGCTCTCCCTTTTGCATTGATCCTCGTCCTCAACTTCATAGCTACACCCGAACCATCATCTTTCGCATCCATGACGACCTTGGTAAGAGCTAGGCCGAGTTTGGCATCGATTGAATGGAATCTTTGGTCTCCTGAGTCGACAAACTTGTCCGGATCAGGATCGTCCATGGCTTCTTTGATCCAGTCGATCCAGGGCTCTTGATCTGAATCATTGGCCGCAATGATGATCGATTGAGTGAGATTTGCCTTCCATAGTCCAAGATCATTGATCCTGGGCCATGACGGAACGTTTATCTTTGATTCTTCCTTCCTCGATACTTTCATGACTGTAGAGGTTGCCGGTGCAAGATGAGATGAAGAGGATGCCTCTGCTTCTGAAATCTTGTCCCTCAATGATTTGTTCGCCTCGGATAGCTCAATTGATTTCTCCCTTTCCTCGGCGTACTCATTGTGGGTCTCGGCATACCATTCATACATCTCATCTCGGCTCTCTGTCATTTCATTGTACCCGTCCTTGTAGTGCTTCGCCTCCTCTTTTGCGTTCCGAATCTCATCTTCCTCGGACGCGTGGGTTGGTAACCCGCGGTCTCTGGAACTAGGACGCTTGCTGTACCGAGAGACTATGGGTGCCATTCGTGCTTCTGCTTTTAGTTTCGCATTTTCCATAATGACATTCTTTGTCTCCTTCTGGCTTTCCAATAGTGCATTCTCCAGTTCTCTGATCTTCTGTTGAATTTCAGCACCATCATCGCCGAACATAGGAGCTCTCATCATATTCTCTCTTTTCAGCTGTGCGTTGGCTTCGGATAGAGCGAGGTTGACGTCTTTCAATTGTTGTCGTTCACGGATGGAACTTTCTAGGACTTCGTTGTTGAATATTTCTCCTTTTGCGATAACCTCCTTTGCGACGTTTGCTTCGTATTCATGGTGGCTCGCCTTCATTTCTGCCATTTCTTTAGCAGAGACTTCAGTCTGGCATATAAACATCTCCATCCTCATGCCCACTTCCATCTCTCCTATCTCCGCTCTCGCGTTGAGTTCAGCTCCACGTGCCATAGCTAGTTGACCTCGTAGATGATCAATAACCATAGCTTCCTGATTGCTCTGATCCTGAGACGAGTGAACACTGTGTTGAAGACGTCTTTCCCTGATCTCACTGTTCCATTGTTCTTCTCTCTGGTGTTGGATCACCTCGTGCATGTTGACATTCTCATCCTGTAGCGCAATCATTCTAGCTTGTATCTGGTCAGCTATTCCGACGAAGGCTGTGTTCTCATCCTGAATGGCTTTTGATCTTCTATTGATCGCCAATGAAGATTCATTCTGTTCTTGGATGTGTCCAATTGCTGCTTGAAGCTCTTGGGACATTCTGTCCTTTGTTGCTTTCACAGATTCAAGCTCTGAATGTTCTTGATGAGTTTCTTGTGCAAGCTCTTGATATCTCATGTAGATATGTTCAGCTGTCGATTCCGCCAAGCGTAGCTTGTGTTCGAGCTCTTCAATTCTTATTGTCGCTCCTTCATCTTCCTGTGTCATCTCTTGTAGATGTTCCTGCATCTTCCTGTTGTAGTCAGACATTTGCCTGAACTCCACTTCAGCCTCGTGGTGTAGTCGTGAGTATCCGGCTTGGATGCATTCATATTCTTCATGAAGAAAATTGTATGCGTTTCTCGCCGATCTCAATTCTTCACCCAGCTGAATCTCTCTTCTTTGCTCTTTTGTTCCTCTATCATCGTCACGTCTCTTCTCTATACTCCTTCTTGGGGATCTCGCGGTAGACGTTATAGGCGATGTAGATCTTGTTGTAGCTCTCATCGATCTTCTTGGTCCTACGGGTGCAAGATCGGTCAGATTCCGAGCCGGTGGCACGGATCTTTCCGAGATTTGTGACCCAGTAGGCATAGTGATAACGTCAGCATTTGCTGATGAATCAGTACCCATTGTAGAGTCTGGTGACGAAATGGTGTTGGGACCACCAGGAGCAGCGAATGAATAGGGTTCGCTTCCATTTCCTCCTGAGCTTGACATTGCAGGTTTCTGTAATGACTAGTCTTGTTCTTGGTCTCGTGTAGCTCGTACGGCTATAAAGAGCGCGTACGGCTGATAACCTGCGAGTGGATCTTAATCAGCGAAGTTTGAAGCTATCACTGACGGTCCATAAGCGGCGTAGCGTCGGAACGGAAACCGCACCTTTTCTAGTCGCTTGATCCTTGAGCCAAAGTACATATGGTATATATATGGGTTTGTATTTTTTTAAGGTTCCCGGGCCGGGATGTTTGACTATGGGGTATGCTTCGGAGGTATGCTTCGGGGTATGCTTCGCGCAGTGTGAAGACTAAAGTAGTAGCATTTCCACAGGGTATGCTTCAGGGTATGCTTCGGGGGTATGCTTCGGGGTATGCTTCGCCTAAGTCGAACATCCCAGCCCTACATAAACTGGACACCTTAAAAAAAGACAAGCCCATATATGTACAAGTTGCACTGTACGTGTCGCTGCACTTCCATTCGCAATAATCATAGACAACAAAGCGGGCAAGGGACAAGCAATGTGACATCCTGCCCCAGTCCTCCTTCTGCTGCTTCATGATTTCAAACTCTTCTTTGGCAGACCGAAGCTCCTGGGACGTGTAGCTAAGCAACAGCTGCAACTTCATCTTTCCTGGTCTTGATCGTTGCTTGTCCGAAGTTCACACACAAACACACACACACACACACACTGCACCACCATGTGTCCCCAAGAACTGCTGGAATGCTCAGCTTTTGCCTCGAGTTGCTCCGAGATGACCTGGAGGTGTCCCTCAGCTTCAGCCTTCCAGGAGTCCACTGATGCTTGGCACGCTTCGAGTTCCTGCAAGAACGTGGGAACTCAACCGTGCTCTCAGGTGAATTCTTTAGGTGGCATCGCTTTTTGGGCTCGCTTCGGCTTTAGCTTGGTTTGGCATAGTTTAGCTGTTCGACATTGTTTGAAATGATCCCAGAAGGCCAACAAAGTTGGCTTTTGATCCGAGCCTTATCTTGTCGGGACATCACGGCCAAATTCTTTTGATACTTTCTCTTGAAGCATTCCAACTCCTCTTCAGCCTGTCAGGAGTAGGCATAATTCACTCCCAAGACCCTGAAAGATCATGAATGGCCTCGATTCGCTTCGCTAAAGCTGCCGCGCTCTTCTCATTTCCCTGTTTCTTGCGCAGCTCCAGTTCTGAATAGCACTGCTCCAACTCCTGCCAAGGAGAAAGATCTAGAGAGCAAAAGGACAAAGGACCCACTCCCCCAGTTTGTCCCATGTGAATGCTTTGCGTTGCTTCCACACACCAAGCCTGAGCTTGCTGCGACAGCAAGAGGGCATTGTTCTCCACCTCCTTCTTCCATCTATTTAGCTCCTGGTGAGTGACACAGAAACTGGCGTCCTTGCTCCTAGTATATAGTAAGGCCAGGAGCCCCTAGTAGCGTCCTTGCTACTAGGAGCATGTGGCTGGTCCATTTGGGTGTGCAAAGACTCAGTCTCTCTCCCGGCTCCAGGGTCTGCATTGCAATGGTCGCTGCAGCCTTCTCTGCTTCCAGCTTGTTGTGGTCCAGTTGGTCTTGGCATTGGAGGATCTCCTCTAGAAGTTGAGAGGATCAACCTGGATCAACCAACCCCAGCATACACATCTACGGAGATGAAACAAAGCTGGCAGCAGTCGGTACTTTTTGCATTTTGTGTTCATATGTGTTCATACCAGGTGACTCTTTCAGCCTCAGAGTGCCACTGCAACAAGTGGAATCACGGATACAAGTCGTATGTCATGACAATGTGTGTATATATAAATATATTATAACTGCTGAAACGAGGAATCCTAATGGCGCTGAATGATCACACAAACTGGTCTTGCTGCCCCCCATTCTGTTACCTTGCTGGATAGCAGTCCTATATAATTACAAATCCTTTCAAGTAAACCGTAAACTTGTCATTTCTTCCTTCACTTGCCCAGCGAGTTGGGGAAGGAGAATCGAAAAGACATCAACGACAGGTCCCAATGTCCAAGCAATAATTTGAACACATATATAGGACTCGTGGCCGACAATTCCGTCGTTCAAAATCAACCGCAAAACAGGTACTCGACATCTGGCCACCTGTCAGCTGCAAGTCTCCTCCACCTGCTCAGAGACTATGTTGGCCTTCTTTTCAACTTCTGACTTCCACTTTTGGAGCTCAGCTTCCAAACCGCTACAGGTTATTTGGTGCGCCTCAACCAATGTGGCGACGTGACTCTGAAGCACACAGAAACAGTCATAGTTAGGCACAGCCACACCAACATGTTCAATACGCTCGGAGAATACCTACTAAATGTTTACATATGTTCACATTATATATAAAGTAGTTGAACCTTCGAACAACCTTGGACAAACAAACAATTCAGTCGGATGCTAGTTTGTACTTTGACCTGACCTTCGTGCGCAAGGGTTCAACGAAATTGGCCATCACCTCAAATGACACCATACGATATACTCCCACTGTCTGCCGGCCTCTTTCGATGACTGCAACTCCTGACGCCCCCCTTCTTTCGACGGTGACAAAACCAAAAAAAGGCAAATGGAGGCAGGATGAGGCAGGCAGGGAATGGAGTGAGGAGGGTGGTCAAAGGTGAGAAAATTATATTGAGGAAAGAAAAACATGTGGAAACGAACCGAAACATAGAAGCCGTTGGGAAAATACAAGAAACACCACGCACGTCGTCTCTTGAATTTGTTTCATATTGTTCTTTGACTTGCGCGCGTGATCCAACGAGTTCTGAAACTGATGATCTCTGGTTTTGGATGGTACAACGGTACAACTCAAGCAAGACGTAACGCGACCGCCCCAAGGAAACGAGCGACTGCAACACTGTCCTGCAATAAGTTAGGCACCTGCCAAACCGACGCATGAGATGCCCCCCGAAGCGATCGTTGAGTGGAAAATACCGTTCTCGGAAGCAAGTCGACTACAATTTATGTTATAGCGGCCCAAAAACTGAAACGCCCTACGCGGACGTCTAAAACATTTTTTCTCAAGCAGTTCGAAGATGGGCTGCATTATGCCCACTAAGTTAAGCAACAATCATGCAATCCACCATGGTCATGTATAGGCTAGGTTTCCTGACACCCTTCCACAGTTTGAAGATCTTGTCGTCTTCAAATTTCATTGCAAGCATTTACATTGCGTCAGCCCACGTTCGTCAGCAACAGCTGCAGTGATAGCACGAAACCCATGGAACTCCCTTCAAATTGAACCACGAGGTACCACAGGTTTCTTTGTTGTGTTTCTCGACACACACCATGTGAGATCTGCGCTGCGCCTCACTGTGAGGATCTCTGTGGCTATGTGACACCTGTGGCTATGTGAAACCAAATTCGCAGAGGGTCTCGGGAGATCTCGTCTGCCTTTTCTTCCTAAGTCACACCTCGTACCATTTGCCTTGTCACCGTCAGCTTCTTCCTGAGCAGACGTTCCAATGACCACAACGTCGCCAACACCAAGCCCCTCCGCATAGGCATTAGTGAAGACAGGATAGAGCTCCTGGAGCCATCCAAGTCTTTCGTGCCTTAATCTGCGCCTTTAATGTGTTCTCCCGAAGATGTTTCATTTCCTTATGGAGCATGTATTGTACCAGAGCTGCAGCTCCACACTTAAGTTACCCGACGTTTTTCTCTGAGTGACCCCTTTTGTTGCCGACGAGTCTGTCAATATGTCCATAGGGCATCTTCGCTCGAGCTGTTTGCATGAGGACTTCACGCGCAACAAGTCCTGACCCTGCATCTCTCCTGAGCTTCGTCTGAGCTCAAGGGGACTCTGCTATGTCTTGCGCAGCTGGTTTCCAAAAACTGCGAACCATACCCGATGGCAACGCTCCTCTCACAGAGCTGAATCTAATTGTCGACGCCTGTCCATTTCATCATAAAGTCCTTAGCCTTGCATATTTCTGATCGTCTACCCAACTGAAACCCATACATGCACCATCACGCCATCTTAACTGTGTACCATGATCTTATCAAGTGCGGAGGCTTTCCAAGGTTCCTTCCGCTAAGGAGTCATCACTCATCACGTCAAGTCATTGAAACCATGTGGTTTCAGCGCCTCGGTGACATAGGTTGACCATTGTCGTGATGGTCACGATGCTCCACAAGCGCGTTCCTTGATTTGCTCAGTGGCCAATCCATACCATTGAACAAGTCATGGGCCGGCTGAACAGCAACGGCGCAGCGCTTGCAGCGTGAAAGAAGGCAACCGACACATAGCCAATCAGTCAGGCGATTGCATTCTCCATGTTTTTGCCGCGGCTGCAATCGACAGGATAGTGGAGCGAATCCACAGCGGAGGAGTTTTTGCGTTAGACTAGACATCTCGGTGTGATGCGAACGGATCGTTTGGCAATGTTTGCCTGGCAACTACCCGCCACCACTGCGCGATCTTTAGTCCTTTTCTTTTCACTTCCTCTAAGGTCGCGTCATTCTTGACAATGTGATCCCCCTTCCTTGCCCAAGGCGAACCTTCTCTTCTGGAAGTTCTTCGCCTGTTTTCTTGTCACACGCTGCTTCCGACGTGGTCCACTCTAGCTATTATCCACCGGGCTTATCATGAAGCGTTTCCAAACCGCCAATCGCGTGGCTCATCGTTTTAAGTTTTAGGCATCAATTGCTCCGAGAACTTCCTCGCATGGCCTCCCTCCAGAGTGGGACGGCCCGCCCCCGGAAGAAGAGCGGCGTGGTCCGTATCCGTGTAGTTGCAATGTGTCTGGAGCGGTGTGACCTGTCCACCGCCATGGATCTTGGACTTCTCATCAGACATCAGCTTCTTGAATCGGGCTCTACATTGCTTTGAGCGAGGCCTCGTTGCACATGAGTGTAATGTAAGCACCTTCTTAGCTGGTCGCATCTTTGCCCTTATTCAAAAGCAGTATGGGCACCGTTGGCCCAATGTCCTTCAAAAAGCGACGCTTGCCTTGCGCGGGCTCTCACAGGCGACACTTGCATTGCACAGGCTATGACCGACAAATGCTTGCCCAAAGCTTTCCTTGCCCAGCGCCAGACTTGGGTTGACACTGCTGCCCTCACACGAGATTCAGAATCGAGATGGTGCATGTGGTGGCCGTGGCCTGGCACAGGACACCCGGACCCTCGCAATTCCTTCAAGCCTCCATCCTTTCACCTGTTTTGGAATTGCCAGTGCTTCCTCAACACATAAGTCTTGACACTCTGAATCTTCACCAAAACAGACTTCGCAATATCCTTGCTCAGTCTAGGGAAGGCCGCCCCCAAAGGCATGCCTTTGTATTGCTGTTTCAAAGCCAGTGGGTTCCCCCCACATCTTCTTCTGATCCCACAAACAAGCCTTCATTGAAAGTTTTCGATGGTGCACTGCAGCCCGTCTTTTCTGTCGTGCTCGCATTGCTTTCTGGACTATAGGGGGGCTGAGCGTAGTCGAATTCTGCCATGTGGTATCACTAGCTGTGGCTGCCTTTTGAGCGCTCGCGGACTTTGAGGATTCCACACTGGGAGGTGATTGGGATCGAGCTTGTTCTTGGGCAGGGCGCTGTTGTGACGGTGCTGAGGATGATCTTTTGACCTACGACCTACCACTCCAACCCAGAGATGGATAATCAGGTTCACGCAGCAGACCTGGAACAAAACTGGTGAGGAAGGAGCTATGAACAAGTCCCGACAAGCACACGAGCCGGCTGTCCTGATCAGGTGGCCGGCGTTCCTTCTTCCTTCTCGGGCCCCTGTGGCTCTGGCCTCTCTGCAGCCGTTGCAGTGGCAGGGCTAACCGCTCACTGCTAGAGCCGAGGCTCCGCTACCTGAAGAATGGGCTGGCTGCATTACGCCCCTTATGTTAAGTAACAGTCACGCTAGGCTTGCTGACAAAGACGGCTTGACACCAAAATTCTGTCAACTTCCGGCCCGGGCTTCACACCGGCCAACCACTCTAGAGCGGAACAGGGACGGTGTGTTGATAGTCCGATGAGCGCTCGGCGATGTAGATCAGCCGTCGCTTTACCAAGACATTTCCCAAAAATGAACATATCTAGATGTTTTAATATTTAGCTTCGGATTCGGACCATCAAGATTCCTTTCGTGGGAAAAGCCTTGCCCAGGATTTGGCTGTGGCTTGATCCCTGCTGGTCCCTCCGTGGACGCTGCTTTAAAGTCTTTATATAATTTTATATACGCAATTTTTAGCTACGGCCCGGGCCTAAACAGCGAAAACAGCAGTGTTGAGGGGTCTCCAGCTGTACTTTATTTATGCTCACGCCCAAAACAAATGGAATTTATTGGGCCTCGACAAACAATGACCACAATGTAGTGCGTTAACCCGGGTTGTATGGAGCTATTTAGTAGGTTAAGGTCTCGTTCGTTAAGGAAATTCACCAGCCAATTAGTCTAGTCTAACCATCTAACCAACTAAGAACGGCCACGCCGACCCCCGTGGCGGCCACGGACGAAAGCCCATGCAGCTTTCCGTTGCTCACTTGAACTTAAACGTGGCACCTTGTCGGTTTTCAGTTCATCCAGCTCCTTTCGACAAGCATCACGCTCCTGATAGCTTCGGCGAGGAAAACTCGGGTCGTGTAATGATGCAAACTTTGCAGGCATACGTTCATTCAAAACATCTTGGACACACAGAAAATTAGTGTGTAAAAATGCATCCAAGCTTTCATTGTAAGATTTCTGCATGGTCGGCCTTTGCTAGATTGATGGATGCCAGGCTCTTTTTTAACTTGCACCAAAACAGTGTTCGAGACGTCACAACGCGTGGCAGAAGGGAAACATCAACTTAGTCCCGCTTAGTCCTAGTTCTATCCAAAGAATTGAGGATCTTCATCTCTTTAGTCCGACTACCCAACAGCAGGATGTTTCGTTCAAACGCATCTCCTTAATTAAGTCTTGTCAAAGCGACTGTGAGGGCTGCACACATCCGCCTTACCTTATCCAACGGCTGACAGGTTTCTTAACTTGCAAAAACCAGAACTGAGGAGGTTCAGGTCCTGGGTCATCCAGCTTGGCCAGAATTCAGTTCAGTTGTCGCGTGTTATCGCAGGATATCTCTCCACATCTCTCCACAATGTCCTCTTCGTTTTGTGAGGCAATGGCGGCCACTTCGCCAAGCTCCTCCCGCAAACGACTCACTTCCTCCATGCGCTGCTCCTGCGGAAGTCCACGGCGGTGTGCAAGCGTCACTCTTCCAGGTTGTGTCATATTTCCGTATATTTCTGTCCCTCACCCGGCAAGTACTCTGCAACCTTTGAAAAAGGAACGATAGGCGTGAGGGGTTACCGTAGTCCCGCCGGGTAGCTCGACTTTCCTGTGGCATTGCAAAGATTTTTGCAAAGCACAGAAGGTTAGATTCCTGCATGCAACCAAAGCTTCCGACTTGCTGTGGGATCGCCAGAGATAACCACACATCCAAATCCGTGCTAAAAACAATATCAACATATATCAACCAATAATGCCCAAACTGCCGTGAGTGAAGCGGCACGAACCATCACAAACAAATACCACATCATGTCACATAATGGCATAGGATAGCACAGGAAAATGCTTGATCAACGACAATCGGTTGTTGTTGCCCACTAAAAAATCCGGGGAACAAATGCGGCCAACGACTAGACCGGCATCATGTCCGCTTTTCTTTCCCAAAATCGCACTCCGGTGTCTCTCGGAGGGCATCCAAGGCCAGCAGCTGGTCCAATTCTTGCCGTGCGGCATCCCGCTCCTCCACAAGGGCTAACTAAAGCAGCTAAATGTACACCGCTGCAGCGAGGTTTCCTCTTTTAGGCTTGAGCATCCAGGATTTGCTCTTTGCCACAGATCCCACCGACTTTGTTGATCTTGTAAGGTCTTTTCATATCTTTTCATGAGTGAGTTTGAGTTGCAGGACTCAGGACTCTAAGGTTGAGCAAATGAATGCAAATGAGGATTGCAAATGCAGTGGGTTTGCAAATCCATAATCTTAACCCATATTCGTTTGATTCAGCTCAGCAGTTTGTGGTGTATATGTATATGGCTTCACATGGCTATAGTTACTTGTTGAGTCTTGTTGAGGATGAGAATTAGCAACACTTTTAGCCTACGACTGACGCAACTTAAATGACTCCAAAGCCTGGGTCATGGCATCGACCTCAACCTGCAGACTTTCGACCTACAGTGGACATGACCAGCTTTGGTTTTGGAGGAGTTTTGGAGGTAAGGATGGATGGTGATAGCAAAGCTGGGGCACCAAGAAAATAGAAACACACACCACATCACCCATCTCTTTAAGTGTGCTTGAGTTTCAGAAAGGGTATTATTCCCGAGGGCCTGCGTGGGCTGCAACCAACTCCACCAACCCTGTCCTACCACAAAAACAACATTCAGTCGAGGAGGCATCCTTCAAGTCCCACATGCTTGACCTACGACTCTGCATGAATTTGTTACTATACATGTATAATTATTAATATACTGTACGTACCAAAAACAAATCAGCCAAGCTGCTGCCAAGACCTCATCTTTCAAACGAGCAACTTGATTCCTGGACAGCCGCAACTCCTCCAGTAAGGTCAGCATGACTGTGCGCGACTTCAAATGTCCATACAGCACCGTCTATCAAACAAATATCAAAAAAACAAATACTGTAATTATAAAGCTTGACACAAGTGCACTTATCATGTCTGAGTTTGCAGCTTACAGTAAATGCATAGTAGCTGAACTCTGAAAAAGGTTGGATTCTCAATTTCTCCGTTTAACCAGGAAACAAACACTTGGCGCATCACTACTCGAGCTCTTCTGGCGAAACGAGAAGACACACGTCTAATTTGAAGAGAGTAGGCAAACATGTCGTAGCTTACAAATCGTCCTCCGTCAATCGCTGCACATCCTGTGGCCGGTGCTGCACACAACCCTTTCCAACGACGACCATAAACAATTGCAGCAACCCTATACAGTAGGTAGTTAGATGTAATTAGATTTAGATATTTCTCGGTAAGCCTCTAAACTCCAAACTGAACCAGCTGAAAGCATCCGACACACACTTTGCGAGCATATGTGCCAGATCGTGCCACTTGACCTAAGCCACGTATGTACAAAGCATCATAAACCAGTCGCAGAGGCAACTGACATGCGCCTCTTCCGTCAAAAGAACAAAAGTAAGCAGGCACAGGGAGCAATGGCAATGCTACTGCTACTGATCCCCAAAACAGATACAGTAGAACTGAAAAGCAACTGACAACTGGGAGGTATGTCTTTACTTTGATTGCAGCGGAAGCCATTCATGCATTGTACTCCTACAACAGGCAAACATCCACTACATAATCCTGCATCTAATCAGTCCCTGGTAGTTTGGCCATTCTGAATTCGTCAGGCCTCTTCCTTCTCTGAGAGCAGTAGGGTGCCAGCCACTTCTGCTGCGTTGAGGCGGTCCCTCTCCACTTGCAGCTCGTAGAACTGGCCGAGAAGCAATAAAGCAATTGACATTTGAACATGGAAAGCCCTTCAATGTACCATTTGCATTTCCCACTTGCCAATCGGCCAGACTAATTAATGAGTTGTATATCTATCATCTATCTATATAAACTCATTCAGGGTCGTTGCCGAGTGCATGAGCACAGCATCTGTCAGACTTGTATCGTATAATGTTGGATTATGTTGGATTAGGTTAGATTATGTCAGGATTGTCATGGGTTTGAGACTGAGTGACTGATATGTTGTTACAAGAGCACCAGGCCTCCTCTATGGGTGCCATTGCCCGATCAGCATGGAGCATGTCAGCCTCTATGCGGCACTGCTCGAGCTCCTGACAACAGCACCAGTTGGGGGTCGTGGTGGGTAGTCTTCTATTGACAATAGCTAGAGTCTCAAAATATGTCAGTGATAGGTGGCACATGCAACAATGCTTTTAATTGACATAGCTGCTTCCGTGACTCCCAGCATGACCCTTGCCATGTGGGATCTTGCAAAATGTCTAATCAGTACAATCCAAGTCAAGTGGAACGTCATCAGTGTCTCACTGAATCTTTCAAATGATGGTTTCGCGAGGCATGGCTGCCAATGCAGCCGCGTACTTGCCAGGCACACACTTGTCCGCGCACTCCAAGGCATGACGGCACTTGGAATGCACTGCACAGGAGGCCGCCTCAAAAACGGTTCTAAGAGCAATATCAAGCGTACTGTGATTGTTTGAGTCAAATCTGAGAATCATTGCTTGTTTGACACCGATCAGAAGCATCCATTCTTTTGAGTCGAGGCAAAGAACAAAAAACATCACAAAACCAAAGAAACTTGGCCTCAACACCACAATGCAGTGCAGCGCAGGTCTTCTCTGGGGGGAATCCTGGGCAATGCACGCGCATGCACTCCATGAGTGAGGAGAAGTGCTCAGCTTCCGCTGTCTTCGCCAGAGGCTCCGTACACTTCAGCTCACACATAACGCCATGGCGGCAACTGGAGGAGAAAAGGCATTTGGCCAGATTGCTGGTGCAATTTCCCAGCACGCAACTGGGCTTGGGCTGCAAAGTAAACTCGTCCAGGGGGCAATTGTCGCTGATGCAAGCAAGTGTCTCATCAACAGTTGCACCCAGAAGAACATCTTGCGTCTGTGGGGTGGCACGCAGCATCGGGGTGGTTCTCTCAGTCTCAGGCTCGACGATGCAAGCATCCTTGTCTTTCCCCGCAAACTTGGAAGTCTCAACATCAAGCTCGTAGGAGTGGAAGTCATGAAGCACCGGCACACAGCCATCTCCTTTCCCGCAGTAAAGGTTGCGGAGATTGCAGTAATTTGTTGAGAAATCCTTGATCGAGAAAATCTGCGACTCGGAGCAAGCGTTGATTTCACAGCTTGGAAAGGAGTTAGCTCGATCCACAAACTCAAAGATCATCTTGTCCGTGAAGAGCTTGTTGCCGGTGACACGCTCCAAATCGAACCTCAATGGCCCCTCATGCTGCAAGGAGTAGGTGCCTCCATTGTGTGGGTCGTGCCACTCTCCTGTTACACGAGCCTTGATCTCCTGCATCACATCCTTGGACTTGGTCCATTCAATAGAGCAGCTCCACTATCTGTTAAAAAATGGCAAACATGTCTGCAAACTTGAAACAACTGATTTCTGCAGAATTCTTTGATGATATCAGTGAATCACAGTGATATGATTAATATCAATTTTCAATCATTCTACATCTGACATGCATGTGATGATGTATTTGACTGCAAGGATCCTGGCAACTGGCATTCACAGAGGCCTCCACCTCGGCCCATGCGTGTACCGGGCTCCAGGAGCCAGGGCATGTAAAAGCGGAGGCCACTGTGGGGATCAATGAGGCTACGGCAGCGACACGCATGGCTCGACTCGCGGGGATGCAAGTGCTCGACACTGAGTTTCTCTCTTCGTTGAGGCAAAGCGGCAAAGCTCAGGGAGTCGGACATCCGTGAAGATGAGTGAAACGGATTGAATGGCTGGCTGCTAATGACTGCTTCTTTCTTATGCCAAAGTTTCTTCTTCTGCCATCAATTTCCGCTCTCCTCCTGCAAGGCCTGCAATTCCTGGGCTCTGCGGCAAGCAATGGTGTGAATAGAATCTGAGCACGTTGCATGGTATTCTCATGGAGAGGAGATTTGAGATTTGCAGCTAAACATTAATTTTACTCAAACGCATGATTAGCTCAAAAGCTCAGGATGCCCTCCCAGAAAAGTGTAACATCAGCACGTACAATTATATTATAATTGATTATATATATATGTTCAAAAACAAAGACGCGGCGGTCCGGCCGATGGCACCTCTTTTGTGCCTGAAAGGGCGCCCTGCGGATGCAAGTCGAGTCTGAAGTGCGAGGGAGGTGGCAGCTATTCCTGGGGTTCCATGCTCATGTCATGCTCGTGCTTCATGGGAAATTCACACCCCTCCTTAGCTGCCGCCTTCCTGGCGCGCCGTCCGGCACGGATCCTAGCCTTCTTGGCCAGGGCCTCCGAGCTCGGTGAGAGCTGCCAGCTGCCATCGTGCAAGGCTGCCAGCAGGGGCTCGCGCTCGCAGCCAACCTTCGTCAGGACGTCAGCCAACATCTGGCTTGTGTCCAGCCAGTGAGCGAAAGCTGCATCATCATCCTCGTAGGTGTTCTCACCGATCAGCTCTTTGATCTGCGCGACCAAAATGCGGACTCGCTTGTCCGTCGGTTGGCCACAGTCCTTGTTGAGTGTGCTTTCCAGGCTCTTAGCATCGGTCATGCAGAGGAGCTTGGACTTGGCGTACTCGCGCTCCAAGGTGTTGAAATCCTCAGTGGGGTGCTGGAACTCCATCAAGAGAGCACGGACATACTCTCCAGCTTCACATCCAGTGAGGAATCCGTTGGACTCAGCTGCCAAGGTGCTCCGGCACACATGCTTGATGGACCCGCTGTAGGTCTCAAGCACAAACAAGGGAGTGGGGCCACCTTCACGAATCTCTGGCAGGGTGATGGTCACCACATAGGCGCACTGGCTCTTGAGACCCTCGGTGTTGGCGAAGCTGGAATCTGCAAAAACGCAGACCGCCACATGCCATGTTGCCTCAGAGGTCTCCTTGAGCATCTTGACCGTCTTGTTGAGGTTCACCACATCACGGATCTTTGGAGATCCTATCGACTGTGCGGCCATCGACACATTGACCATGACGTCAGGTCTGGTCTGACGCGCCGCCCAGCCAAGCTGCCCGATCAATCCTCGGAAGGAGGTGATTTCTTCTGGTGTCAGTGGGGCATTCACCATTGACCTGCGGTGGCGGTCAAGTGGCATGTAGTCCACGCTCTCAATGGCATCGAACTGGTCAACCTCAATGGTGTAGTCATCACCTTGACGGAGGTTCTTTCCACAAAAACGGAAGGCCTTGTGCTGGACCTTGAGGTGGATCTCTTTCTCCATGGAGGCAACGCTCTGCTCGTAGACAGCGCCAATGCCGGCGCAAAGCAAATCATCAACATGGGTGCAGAGGACTCCTTGGAGATTGCCATCAACAACCAGCTTCCAGTTTTGACATTCTCCATCCATGGGACTTCAAAGTCCTGAACAGCTTGCGCGCGTCCTTGGCGCCGTAGATGGAGCCGAGCGCACGGAAAAGATCGTGAGGGCTGACTCCTGGCGGTGGAGGGCAAGGAGGCTTCAACAGCAGCAGGCGACTGATCCCCTGCGATTGCAAGTATGCAGTTGAGGCATCGCACGCCGAGATCACCCATTGGTTCATCACTGCAATGGCGCAGATGAGGTTGAAGGACAGTAAGGAGGCCGTAGGGCTATCTGACCTGATTCCAGTGGGATTCTCTTGGCATCCCTGCACCACAAGCCTGCGCTTGGCTTGGAAGGGGAACTCCTTCTTGATCTGGGCATCGGACTTGCCGGTCTTCTTCTGCATGGCCTTCGCGAGAAGGCGTGGTTTGCTGTTCTTGTCAACGTGGACCCATCGAGTGCCGATGATCTGAGCATCTTCAGGGAGGTTCTCGATCTGGTCACGGGTCAGGATCTCCACAGCGCCGAACTTGGTCCAGGAATCCCATTCTTTCTGCATAGAGGCCTGGAACTTTTGGCGATCTTCTTCGTTGAGGTTCTTGAGGGAGATCTCAGTAGATGCGGCCTTTCCAGTGAGAAAGCAGTCTGCTGGAGATTCTGCGACCGGGAAGGTGTCGTTTTCTTCCTCCAATGACAGTTCAGCACCATACTCCTTCAAGATGTTGATCTGCTCATCATTCAGGTGTCGTAGTTGATGAAGCCGGATCGTGTAGGGCAGATCTGGACAGTTCCATGGAACTTCATCGGTGAAGTATGGACCTGGTGCCGGCTGGTACTCTGTCCGGACTGGACGGTACTGGTGCGAATCTAGCCGGTCTGGGTTTCGTAGAGCATCTTGTAGACGAGTTGAAGGTGCCGGCATTTCGGCTGCTTGTGGGAGAATTTCACTTGGCCGTCTTGAAACCTCTTGTGATGGAGGCATGGACGGAGTTGGTGTCGACATTGGTAGTGGAGCTGGTTCAGGTTCAGCTGCGTCTCGTGGTGCCTGGTTCACGGCATCAAGTGCGCTCTGCAGCGTTGGAAGTGGCTGCTGTAGCATTGGTACTTGAGGATCTGATGGCACTTGTTCCGGTTGTTGACCAGGGACATTTGCTGCAGGGGCAGGTCGGCTGGCTGATGATGCGCCGCCACTGCCTTCTGGACTGAACTGCAATGCGGGTGCTTGATCTTGAAGAGGTACTGCAGCATGCCCTCTGAGGTCAGTGTAGTTTCGTGCTCCACGAACGGCAGCAGGGTGCATGATCTCTTCTGGAAGGAGATGTGCAGCAAGTAGTTCATCTTCACTTGCGAACCTCAGCTGTTCTCCAGTCACCAGTACCACGAAGGGGCCATAGCGAAGCCAGTATGCATGAGGTTGGCCGCCTTCAGTGAGAGGTTCTGGATCTTCAGCTCTCCTTTGATTTCTAGCTTCAATGCCGATCACACGAGCGGGGCCAAACCATCTGTAGTTTCGAGCGTGCCCTCGAGATTGGTGAGCTGCTGATCCTTGTGCACGGTAGAAGTAGACATAGCTCCCAATCGGATATGGGCCTCTTGTAGGCGTGGACTGATGTAGTAGGGCTCGTCGAACACGGGAGTCGTTGTCCAAACGGATCTGGGCCACGCGAGCGCTCTCTCGAATGCCAAGTGATCGGGCAAAGGCAGAAGTTGGGTCATTGGCTGCCTCGAGCAGTTCAAGCCTCTGTGCTTCATCTTCTTGTATAGTAGTGATCCGGGGATTCGGATCTCAGAGACTCCAAGGACCCATTGTGCAGGCGAGAAGCCATTGGATCGAGGAAGGGAGTTTCGAACTTGAGTGACAATCGTCGTGGCTGTGATCACGTCCTCAAGCCCTTGAAGCTGCATCTCGTGCACAGTCTTGAAGAAAACTTCCTTCCGTAGAGCGTTCTGCCAAGGTGCCTCAAGAGGAACGGTACTCCTTGAGGTAGTCACTGAACTGGTGGTAGTCGTCGGGGTTCATGCCGTGGTAGTCATGGACCATGTCGGAGTCATTGGCCTCAGCGAACTCGGACTGAGTGGGAGGGTTGTAGTCGATCTCCTGTACTGTGAGCGTCTCCTCTGGCTCGGTTGCATGTTCTGGGGAACAATCTTGAAGAGAGTCCATGTCAAAGTCCAGGAGGCTCACTGCCAAATGACCACGCGAGGTCTTGACCAGTGGGAGGTCAGTGACACCAATCTTGTTGAAACTCACGGTGCGTGCGCCAATGTTGATCACGGTCTGCAGCTCCTCCATGAAGGGTCGTGATAGTAGAAGAGGAAGGCTGCCTGGAGCTTCAGCGCTGTGCAGCTCACCATTGACCTTGTTGATGCCGACCGGAAAGATCTTGACAGTGTCACTTGCGATTTGGCCTCCAACACCCTTGAACGACTGCTTCTTGAGGCGTCTGCGTGGTGACAAGTTGAGCTTCTCGAGCTCTTCTTCGAACGCTTTTGCCCAATCGGTGCCATGCATGGTTCGGGTACATCCTGAGTCTAGGATGGCAAGTCCAGGTGGATCCTGGGAGCTCGTGGTGTAGGTTGTCTCAAGATCAAGTCGTTCATGATCGCTGATGTCCTGGTTGACCATGAGCACCTCAAAGTCATGAGGTTGTACCATCTCGGAGATGACTCGGGATGCCCTTCATGCATGCAGATCGGAACTCGGATGCACCTGTGGGCCACCATGTCGTCGGGATCAGTGGTCCTCTTCAAGGGAGAAGTGATGCCAGCCTTCCATGTCCTCATAGCACATCCATGTAGGAGACGGACACGCCCAAACAGGTAGAAGGCGAAGCGGTAGGTCTCCGCGAACATGATTCTCAAGGTCTGATGGCAGTACACTGATGCCTCAACGGAGGAAGCGATCTGAATGTAGGTGTATCCTTCATATGGAGTTCCGGGACCAAAGATTGCAGCGTCACTCGGAAGGGGTTGCAGCACATCATAGTCGTCCTCTGCCAAGGGCGGAAACGCAGGGAGATCTATGGTGAGATCTGCACTCCATAGGCCCAAAAACGAGGCTCTTGCTGTGCATCAGGTCGGATGATTCTTGCCGTTGACGGTGAGGAAGGTGATGAAGTCTCCTTTGACCTGCGGCTGGCAGGTGTTGTCGGTGCGCGAGGATAGCCGCGGGGAGGCTGTAGAGCTCGTCGATCTTCATCATCCTTTAGGGCTTGATCACGTACCCGACAGACACTTGCAAAGAGCTCACGAGATCGAGCTGCTGATCCCCATCTGGTGCACAGAGCAATCTGCACCAGGTAGCACCATAGCTGAGCGGCGTCCTTCCTCTTGGCGACGATGATGGTCTGGTTGCAATCCTTGTCCTTGCAGGTCACGTGACGGGTGTGACCGTTGGCTCCTCGATGGAATTCACGTTCATTTCCACCAAAATAGGAGCTGTGCTCGCAAAGCTGGGTGTCTTTCAGCACCATCAGCACTTCATGCGCTGGAGGAGAAATGTAGGTGAAACATGCTCCAGGTGCAAGCCCATCGTCCTTGTAGATGCGCTCGATGGTGTTCTTGTCCTGGATGTGGTTGCCAGAACCAGTAGGAGCAAGTGCTGGTTCATGCTTGTCATTGGGCTCATCCAAAAAGATGCCTGGCGCATACTTGGGAGTCTTCTCGTCCGCAGGGACTTGCTCATACTCAGAGGAGTTGAGGTTCTTTGGCATCTGGTCATACTTGGAGAGAGACTGAGGCATTCGATGAGACCTCATGCTCGACAGGGGCTTTGTGGTACTCTGAGGCCACGTCATTCTCAGTGGATGCAAGGCCAGTGAAAGTCGCATTGATGTCCTTCTCATCGTCGGACTCCAAGCCCTCGTGCAAGACAAAGAAGGTAGTCTTGCCTTCGAACTTCTTCTTGTGAGGTGACGGACCGGTCTTGGTCATCTTCTTCTTGCGGGTGTTTGGACATGCGTCATCTCCAACCCAATGACCTTTCTGTCCACAGCTGGTGCAAGCAGTGACTGACTTCGAAAACTTCACAGCTGTGTTCCGGTTCTCCTTGGCCTTGGCGTCAAAAGAGATGTCACCTGATGCCTTGAATGGCAGGGACTGCGACGATGGCGAAGAGGGATGCTTCCCTTTCGACTTTCCTTTGCCCTTGCCCTTCTTGAATTGCATGACGGTGGCAAGAGCTTATACCTCTTCATTGCCCTCAAGGTCGGGCAGATCTTGGACCAAGGTGTCCCAGGTCTCATCCTCCCAAAAGGCCTCTGCTCCGTCGTGGGCCGGGGACTCATACTCATCCTCGTCCTCTAGGAAGACCTCGTCGTCATACTCATTCATGTCATCATCGAAGGCCTCATAGGCTTCTTCCGTGGCGAGGATCTGCTGGGGTCGTCCACGACCTTTCCCTGGCTTGTAGCCCTTCCGGAAGAGGATCCCTGAGTCACGAGCAGCTGGGCTGCGACCACAGCCGAGGAAGTCACGTCGGTGAACCGGCTTGCCATTGGCCTGTGGGAACTGAATCCTCATGGCATTGGCAATCTTGTCGAAGTCGTACTCGTTGTTCACCGAGCTCAAAACTGAAACCTGCTCTTGCTGACTCAGGCCACCGAAGAGCAGCAGCATCATCGCCCTCAAGCTGCGAGGAACAGAAGTGCCACCTCCAGCTTCTTCAAGTCGTCGAAAATCCTGTTCTCGGCGGATGATGTACTGCTGCGTGGACTCTTGAGGTCTTCTCCAAACCTGTGGGCTGTAGAAGGCGGTGAGGAAGAGTTCATTGATGCGGACGGGCTTCACTGCTGCAATTGCCGTCCTCAAGGCATCAAGAAAAGTCTTCAAGCCCTTGTCGGTGGGGTTGCCATCCGCATCCTTGGTCTTGATGCGGGAGTGTTCCATCTTCCTCACGGCCTCGTAGGCCGGGCCACTCAAGCCAGCCCGCAGATGTACTGCGGTTGCCGCCTGCAGGGCGGGCTGTCCATCTCGACCATGCCAAAGGTCCCAAGCTCTCTCCTCATACTCATCGTAGAGCTCCGGGTCGCCGGTGAACTGGGGCACTCCGTGCCTGTCCACATCCAAGCGCTGGGTCATGGCGACCAGGGAGCCAAGCGTAGTGCCGTGGAGCACCGGCCAGGATGGCGGGCGCTCAAAGGCCAGCAGCCGCCGTCGGCAGCCAGCAGCGCGTCAGCGCGCGAAAGGGGCGCTTCGAGGAAGCGCGCAGCAAAGCAGCGCCAGGCGTCACCCTTTACGAAAGGGCTCCGCCTACCATCAAAAACCAAGACGCGGCGGTCCGGCCGATGGCACCTCTTTTGTGCCTGAAAGGGCGCCCTGCGGATGCAAGTCGAGTCTGAAGTGCGAGGGAGGTGGCAGCTATTCCTGGGGTTCCATGTCACGCTCGTGCTTCATGGGAAATTCACATATGTATAGTTATGTAAATATGTCTATAGTACATATGGAATCATATGGAGTAATAGTGATACCGTAATGTCGACGTCCTTTGCCTCTGCAAACTCGTCGGGGCCCTGGCGTCCCTAGCTGCAAAGGCGTCGGCTTTGCACTTCTCCAGTTCCTCCGAGCGTGGTGGCTGATGGCCTAGGGCTAGGGGATCACATTGCCTCCGAACGTTTCACTTCAAAGGTCACATTGGAATGTAAAGTCAGAAACCTGCAACACATCTGAAAACATCTCTCTCTCTCTCTCTCATGACATCCGTGTTTGTCACTTCTGGCTTTGGTGCACTCACTGAATCCAGAAAACAGGCTCTGTCTTCCAATCTTGGACCCCACATGGGAGTAAAACTAAACGCAAGCCATGACTTGCCTGTGCTTCCTGATCGATGATTCACAGGTCACAAATCAATAATTGAGGGACTTGGGGAAGGCAGATCACTTCACCGTGCGCTTCATTACTCGGTTGCTTCCGTTCTTGGGGCGTCTACTGATTTACTTCTCTGTTGTGCCTGAAAAGCATGATGTAGTAACTATACAGTTGTAGAGCAGTCCAATCACACGCTTCTCCTCATTGACTCGATGCACTTCCTGTGGCGGCTACAAAGGCAGCCTAATCATCTCTCGATCATTGGCTACACATGGCTAGAATATGCTAGAATAATATAATGATTGCATCACGACACATTTCATGTGATATATATATATACATATAAAATTGATTATATATGTATATATGTACCGCCCCTCTTGCACACATGGCGCAACACTCACCGTCAGCAATCAAGGATCGATGCATTGAAATCAAGCTGAAGCCGAGAATGTTCGGCCACCTAATAATGTTGAAAAATAGGTAGTCTATCTGGCGCGGGAAGCCTTGCCATACGGTTGGCGAAAGCCCGAGATTCACATCAAGCTCAGCAATCTCCTTTCACTCATTCGGAACCATCCGTATTTGCCTCCGCTTGGTTGGAAAGCAGAACAGCCCGATGGTCGCTGTGAGCTTTCAACTGTTCCTTGTTCAGCTCCAGTTCTCTGAGTTCCTGCCAGCGAGCTAATGAAGCGCTGGGGCATGCTGGGACCAAGCAGCCAAACAAAGTCCGGCTATTATCGGTTCGTCGAGACTCGGAGCCTTCCGCTATTGCACCGTTATATAATATTAGATAATATTATACAATCATAGATCATAGTATAATGTCATATAGTCGGAAACCACGTAGGTGCTTGGTTGGAGGCCATCGCTTCTAGGTTGGAGGGCAAAGCAGCCTTTAAACAATGACAAGCGCCGTCTTCTCACATCGGCACTGATGCCCAAAGGATTGGCCCGCAGGAGGCCAAATGCAAAGAGAACCTGTCCTCCCGCAAACTTCGCATTTCCTGTGCAGGTAACGTGTCCAAGACTCAAACATAATTCATGCTCTCCACCTGTCTTGCAATGTATTTTGCCTTATGCCGTGACATGAGATGGGATTTGCGTCCTCGGCTTTTTGTTCTGCTTCTTCTTCGAGTTGAGAACGGCTTCTCCGCAAAGCAATCAATTCCTCATCTTGTTTCTGCTTCTCCTTTCATACCAGCTGTTAGCCAGCGCGGAGGTTCAATGACTGTTTATGATGACTATATACTGTATAACAATATATATATGTTCATTGTTAATATAGTTATATATAATATATACTAAAAATATTACAGTAAATAATATGTTTAGTATATATATATTATATGTACTCACTGTATGGCGATATTGTGAGATGAATGGCAGCAGTTCTGAAGGTGAATACTCGTGTATTGTCAGTGGGTGATGGTAAGCAAAGTGTCCAGCTTAACCGTGTTTTTTTCTGCGAAACGTGTAAAGTCCCTTTGCACTTCCCAAAGCGTCTGCTTTGCAAAAAGACTGGACTCCCATGATGATCTGTCAATGCAGCTTGAAGAACTTGAGACTTCAATTCAAAGTACCATTGCACTCATCGACATGCCTTCCGAACAAATCAGTCCTTCATGCCAGTCGCCTGCGACTCTGCCAGGCAAGTTCTGAGGTTTCTAAGCTCCTGCAATTGCAATTGGAGTGTAGCCTAGCAGCATACGTCACGCGGTGTGTGAAATTCCCTCTGTTCTTATTGTTCCACTCATCAGAATCTACTCGAATCTACTGTGTCAAAGTCAGCAAATAGACAACCTTGCGCACAATTAAATCATTGAGAGTGGCATGCACGCACATACACACACACTGCATGGTTGTCGAGGGATTGAAAAAAGTCTGTCTAGATTGCATCAGATTGTTCAAGTAGTCGTGGCCGTGGCCCTCCTCCGCAAGCAGCCTTGAAAGTCCAGGCCAATCCAAACATATGCATATTCCATTGACGATTACCAATCTAGCAAAACCAAAGACCTTCAATACTGTAAGTAGAAACACAGAAACACACACACACACGCACACGCACACTCTGACATTGGTATTCAGTGAACTCAGTTCCCAAGTTGAGAAGGAAGGTGGTGGAACGGCAAGGCGAAAGAGTCCGGTGACTTGAATTGTTGAAAAAATGTTTCACTCGCGCGGCTGGCTGCAATTCACAAGCGGCTGAAAGCTGCGGTGGGAAACCTGTTTGTGGGGAGTAGCATGAAGGACAATGAACCAAAGCGTGGAAAGTGGTGTCACAGCTTGAAAAACAGTTCTCGTTGCAGGTACAGGAATGTGCGTCCACATTCCCTTCCGGCTGAATCCCATAGCTTCGTTGGCATGGCTAGGGAAACAGCTGCCATGCCCCCTGCCTTGTGGAATGGTGGTAGTGGAAACGGTGGCATTGAACCCTTTGGCACAGGGGGTGACACACACGCACACACCCACGCACGCACGCACACTCTGACATTGGTTTTCAGTTACACTCAGTTCCCACGTTGAGAAGGAGGAAGGCGATGGAACGGCATGGTGAAAGGTCCAAAGACTTGAAGGCGTTTTAACATTGAAGTTTCTCATCTGCAGTGGTGCGACGACGACGCGCGCGAGCGGCGAGGGAAAGGGTTTAGGGGAAGTAGCACGAACCACCATGGAAACAAACAAAGAAAGAGTGGAGTGACAGCTTGTA